CGGCCCCGCCCCCGCGGCCAGGCGGGACCCACAGCCAGTCCCCAGGCCGCGGAAGCGCAGCGTGTGCGAAATAGCCGAGAGCTCTGAGCTCAAGCTGAGCCAGGTGGCCCCAGGACAGGTGCCGGCAGAGAGGCCCAGCCCTGTGGGCAGCAGGGACATCCTCACAGAGAGGCAGAAAGAGGCCCGCAGGCTCATGGTGTTTCTGCAGAGGCCGGGGAACTGGGGGGCGGTGGAGGGACCCTGGAAGCCCAGCTCCCAGGCCCGAGAGCTAGCCTCGGCGGCAGCTCTGCAGCGGCGGCTGGACCTGGGCAGCTGCCTGGATGTGCTGGCCTTCGCCCAGCAGCACGGGGAGCCCAGGCTGGCCCAGGAGACCTACGCCGTGATGAGCGACAATCTGCTGCACGTGCTGGGGGACTCCAGCCTGTACCGGCAGCTGAGCGGGGCTGACAGGGAGCGAATCCTGAGCCTTCGGACTGGCCGCGGCCAGGCCGTGCTGGGGGTCCTCGTGCTGCCCAGCCTCTACCCGATGAGCCGCTCAGGGCTCCCCAGGGGCCCTCGTGGCGACGAGGCTCCTGCCCACGGGCCCGCGCCCCTACTTCCTCCATCGCACCTGCACGTGTTCAGCCCCCGGGAGAACAGGTGGCGGCCCCTGACACAGGTGCCGCAGGAAGCGGCGCTGCGGGGCTGCGGCCTCTGCACCATGCACAACTACCTGTTCCTGGCGGGCGGCGTCCGAGGCTCGGGCGCCCAGGCCGTCTGCACCAACGAGGTCTTCTGCTACAACCCGCTGACCGGCGTCTGGAGCCAGGTGCGGCCCATGCTGCAGGCCCGTGCGCAGCTCAAACTGGTGGCCCTGGACGGGCTGCTCTACGCCATCGGGGGCGAGTGCCTGTACAGCATGGAGAGCTACGACCCCCGCACGGACTCCTGGACCTCACGCGCGCCCCTCCCTGCGGGCACCTTCCCTGTGGCGCATGAGGCTGTGGCCTGCCGTGGGGACATCTACGTCACCGGGGGCCACCTCTTCTACCGCCTGCTCAGGTACAGCCCCGCGAAGAACGCGTGGGATGAGTGCCCCTACAGTGCCAGCCATCGGCGTTCCAGCGACATGGTGGCCTTGGGGGGCTTCCTGTACCGCTTCGACCTGCTGCGCGGCGTGGGCGCCGCGGTGATGCGCTACAACACGGTGACCGGCTCCTGGAGCCGAGCCGCCGCCCTGCCCCTGCCCGACGCCGTGCCGCTGCGCTGCACCGTGCTGGGCAACACCATCTACTGCCTCAACCACCAGGTCACGGCCACCTTCACAGTCTCTGAGGGGACTGCCCAGTTCCAGGCCGAGGAGCTGCAGCCGTTCCCCCTGGGGAAAAAGGGGGTCCTCTGTCCGTTCATCTTGACCCTGCCCCCCGCGGACCCGCTGCAGACTGCCCTCTGAGCCGCTGCTGGGCACCAGGACTGCAGCTGCTGCTCTGCGGGAACACCGGGGCAGGCAGCACAGGGAGGTGGCTGCCGCTGGTTGCTGACGACTCTCCTCTGTTACAATGAGCCCTGTGCTCTTCTCCTCCACCCTATAGCGCCGGGGCTCCCGGCCCCCCGGAAGCAGTCGCTGGGCGTTTCTACCACACCCAGGTCCTCCTGCCTTTACCACTGAGTCCTGCCCACCGCCTGGGCCGCTCACGGACACTTCCTCCAGGCAGAGCGCCCCTTCTGTGGGCTCCCGCGACCAGCACCCACCACACTGCCTGGAAATGACCTGCTGTAGGACACTGGTGCCCTTTGAGCTAGCCACGGACGCTGTCCCCAAGGACCAGGACTTGGCCTGCTGAGGAAGAACATGGCTGGAAACACAATCGTCCTTCCTGATGGCTCCAAGCTGGACAAGGGGCCCATGAAGGGGGAAAAGGGAGCAAAGAAGTCCCCAGGAAAATGTCCCTCCCTCTGGGACTCTGCCTGTCCTGAGGCCTTGGGGAGCCTGGCTCGGCTCTCCCCAGAAACAACTCAGCCCACCTTTCTCTGATCGGTCCTCAAGGGCCTGGAACCCCTGCGCATGACCCCAGGCCCACTAAGGCTCATGCCCTCTGCAGTCTGCGAGGTCCCTCCCCGCCTCTCAGCGCCTCCGCCCCCCTCCCCACATTCCGCCCCCTTAAGTGAGATCCAGCTGCGCCCCAGCTCTGCCCCTGTGAGCTGTGCGGACTCAGACAAGGCATCTAACTTTGTTTTCTCACCCTTGAAGCAGGATTAATGGACATGTCATTCAGGAGAGTCGCAAGAACACAGGTCACATATGTGAGCACCTGGCACAGCCCGGGATACATAACTGAATAAACGATGTCCCCTTTCCCCGCTTTGGAGCCCTCCATAAGGAGGTAAATAAATCTGAGTGCTGCTTCCTGTCCCACCCTCTGACCTGGCTTGTCCACAACTCTCTGGCCTTTTTTGCTTTTTATTCAATGCTTGACACTAAATACACAATTCACCGACAGCATCTTATACTCTCCATGTTTTGTTCACAAGGCTTGATTTGTTATGCAGCTGGGTGGGACAGAAAGGGGTCCTCAGGTTGTGCTGAAAATGCTGAAAATAAATTTATTGAAAAATAAGGAGTCCACGCAGCCATATACTTGGGTGGCCAGTTCTGTGCCAAGCAGAGAATCCCGCCCCCCCACCAGCGGCTTCTGTCCCACCGACAGCACCCTGTGGCTGCGAGGTGCGGGCAGGGGCCTACTGCTTGCGCGCGGTCTCCCTGAGCAGCTCTTGCCAGTTCTTCTCCATCTCCTCCTTGCAGTTGAGGAAGGCGTCCTCCAGCCGGCGCATGGCCTCCGCCAGCGTGGGGTTGGTGCGCATCACCACCATGTCGTAGGCCATCCACGTGGCCTGCACTGCAACAGCCAGACAGGCCCTGGTCAGGCCACAAGGTGGGTCATGGCTCTGGGGCACCCCACAACCAGACCCCACTGAGTCACCCGATTACTCTAAGGACAAGAAGCAGGTCGGCTACTTGCTGCAGGCTCATGAAACGCCCCTGTTAAAACTCCTCCCTACGTGGAGCAGTAATGAAACTTCCCTGATTTTACACAAGCCTTAACCCTGTGCACATCAGCGCATGGCATTAAAAGGCTGGTGGCCAGTCTGACGCGAACCGTTAGGAAAAGTCCCAAAACACAAGTCCTTCCCTCTCCACAGTTCACAGCCAGTGCTTGCACAGTGACCCCTATGGAGTCAAAATACCACTCAAGCTCACACGCTAGGTAGAGGTGACCACTCCCACTCCAGCCAGGCCCTGAGCCTCAGGTCGCCTCGTGCTCAGTGGCCTGGGCACCAGCCCAGGGGCTCCTCCTCTGGGAATGTCTGCTGCAGCCCATGTTAGGTGTCCTCACCACCGCACCGACCAACTTCCACGGCCTGTCCCAGTGTCCCCGGGGCCTACACATGAGCATGTGCTGTGTGTACAAATTCAATAGAAGGGGAGAGAAACCACCTCTACACCCTTCTCCCCACAGAATCCGCCCCACCGCTGTGTTCTTACCCTCTAGACCCACAAAACACAAGGGTCCTACTCTTCTGCATGACAGCCACACAGTAAATACATGCCCTTCAAATCCCTCTTTGCTGGGCACTTTGGGAAACCACGTCCTCAAAGAAATTAATCAAAGAGGAGCTATGCAGAATGATTAATGGTAAATGCACATGTATATCTACACACATCCGAGGGTGGCAGAATGGCAAACTTGAAGTTTTACTAAAAGAAACAGCTATCTGGGTGGGGAAACTGTTAGAAAAAGTATGCACAGTTCCTCAGCAGACAGAGGGCATGCGACACAGCGAGTGCAGGAATTCCTAAAGCTTTGGAAGCATGGCAGTCACTTGGGGCACCTGTAAAAATGTAGGCCACAGGCCCCGCCTATAACACAGAGGTTCCTGCCTAGCCGGTTGGGAATGGTACATCTTAATAAGCATGTGGATACTCCTGCGGGGGACCTACCGACCACCGTTTCAGACCAGCTAGACAGCAGGTGGACCCAGGGCGCAGAGCAGAGTTTGTTCTGGCCCTCCGCTTGCTAGCAGTGGACAAGTGACTTAAACTTGCTAGCCTCAAACTTGCTAGGCAATATCCCAATCTCATGACTCACCATGAAGATTAAATGAACGATATGTGTGAACTGCCTAGCACATGTGAGGTGCTCAAGAAAGGAGAAACTATTATTATTCTGCGTTTCCGGAGACCAGAGCAGGAAAGGAAGTACACGCAGTTAGTTATAAGACCCAGTGATGACAAAGTGAAAACAAGCCCATTGTTTAAGACGCTTTTATCCTAAGGGAAAATTGTCCCTAGGTATATTTTAGGAGAAGTGCGATATAGTTGAAAATGCCCCTGATGACACTCCTACCTTAAATACAAGATGATTCTTCTATGTCTGTGGCTGTCATCACGGGTTAAAGAGATTCCTGTGCTCCGCAGCCCCCCACGTACCATTCTCTGTCACAACCTGCACTGCTTATTTCCCTCACAGCACCTTTCACACTCGGTCTTGTGTGTTTATCTACCTCCAACCACTGCAGCTACTATACATACTTCACGACAAGAGGGCAAAGGGGTGAAGATGAGCCTGGAGGTTACAGCTCCCAGGCCAATGTCCATCACTGGCAAAACAGACGAAGCAACACTTACGATGGAAATGGTGAAGCTCCACCTCCCCAGACCGCAGGCCCCAGGTGGTCTCACAGGTGAGTTCCACCATGATTTGAAGGAACAGTTAATACTGATCGAATATGAGAGATTCTAGAAATTAGGAAAAGAGGGAAGACTTGATAGTCTCACTATATGGGCTAGTGTAGCCTTTTAAGAAAAGCATTTTATAGAAGTATTCCATTTACACTGAAAAGCAAAAATAAAAACATAATTTTCCCTAAGCTGGCTTATTCTAAAACCAAAGACAATCTGAAAAAAATTATAGGTCTATCTCACATGAATATAGATGTAAAATCCTAAATATAACATGAGCTAAACAAATCTAACAGTGTGTTAAGATAATATGATTAAGCAGAATATAAAAGAAATTCAAGGATGGTTGAATATCAGAAAATCAGTGTAATGAACCACATTAATAAAAAGAAAGAAATCACAGGAATATTCCACTTAATGCAAAAAAAAAAAAAGGCAGTTAATAAAGTTTAATGCCTCTTTGTGATTTTAAAAATCAAAACTCTAACAAATTAGGAATAGGAGACATCTTTAACTTAATAAAGGTGATACACCAAAAACATACATAACAGAGAAACTGTGGATACATTCTCTATAAGACCAGTATCAAACAAGGATGCCTCTGATAATGCTACTGATATTGGAGATGCTGGTAAATGAAATAAAATAATTAAAAAGAAATTAGAGGTGTAAGGATTGGAAGGTAAGAGATAAAACTATCAGTGTTTGTAAATTACAAAATACATGTGAAAGAATAAAGGTCAATAGCTAAGTCAATTTTAAAAAATAAAAATTAAAAGGGGGGAATATGCCCTATTAGATATCAAGACAACTCATAAATCTTTATTTTAAAAAATAGTATGGTACAGACAAATAGACCAATGGAAGAAAATAGTAAGCTCAGAGATAGACCTAACTACGTATGGGAATTTAGTACATGATGAAAGGAACACCAAAAATCAATGAAAAACAGACAGTGTACTCCAGATGGATTAAAGACATAAATATGCAAGATAAAATAACATTTGTAGATAAAAAATTAGCAGATCTAGGTGTTGCTTGAAAACCATAAACCATGACAAAATATTGGTGAATTTATTTTTATCAAAAAAGTTTTTTTTTTCATAAATAAGGACAACATGGGCAAAATGTTCACACAAACGGTGGAATAGAAGAAACTTACAATGCCTAAAACTGATAATATCAAGAATAAATAAGAAATCACTTCAAATCAATAAGAATAAGAGGAGATCCAATAATAATAATAATAATTTTAAAAACCTCAAAAATAACAAATGTTGGCATGGATATGGAGAAACTGGAAGTTTGCACATTGCTGGTGGGATTATGAAATGGTATACCACTGTGTAAAACAGTGTGACATTCCTCAGAAAGCTAAATAGAATGACCATATGACCTAGCGATTCCACTCCCAGGTAACATCCTAAACAGCTGAGAACAAGTACTCAAATGCTTGTACACACATGTTCACAGCAGCACTATTCACAACAGCCAAAAGATGGACGTAACCCAAATATCCAGCGATGGGTGATTAAATAGATAAAATATGATATATTCATACAATGGAATATCATTCAGCCATATAAAGGAATAAAGTACTAATTTATGCTACTGTATGAATGAACCTTGCAAATACTATGCTAAGTGAAAGAAGCCAGAAAGAAAATGTCATATAGTATATGACTGATTTATATGAAATATCGAATAGGTAAATCCATAGAGACTGAAAACATGTCGTTGGCTGCACAATATGTGTTAAATGCCACTAAATGTATACTTTAAAATAGTTAATTTTATGTTATGTGAATTTCACCTTTAAAAAACTTATTTAAATTTTAATGTTTAGACACTATAATCATCTTCACTTTTCAGAAGTAGAAACAGAGGGACAGAGCGATTAAATAGTTTGCTGGGTCGCACAGCTAATAAGTGGCACAGGCTGGATTTGGCCCAGGTAACCAATACTAGAGTCCATGTTTTTAACTGTGGTTCACTACTCTTATGTGCCATCAGAGGGAACGCAAAAGACTAACAAGCATACGAAGAGAGTCTGGAACTCATCAGGAGAATAAAAATTAAAGCAACCAGATATCACTTTATGACTATTACAATGGCAAAATTAGAAAGCTGGATCTCAAGTGTTTGTGAACTTGTGGGATCTGAGAACCCCCAGGCACCGCTGCTGGGAGTACAGTCTGATTCTGTACAGCCATTCCGGGAAGTAATCTGGTGGTACCCCTAAAAGTATCACACAGGTCCATGAGCACAAATGCACGAAGATGTTCACTGCAGCACTGTCTTTGGTGACAGAGTTGTAGGAAATCTAGGTGTCCATCACTGGGAAGAATGGCAAAGCAGAGAGTAGTGGCTTACCGTGGGAGACCACAGTTCAGTTAAAGGTAATAGGCAAGATGGATCCATGGATGCTCAAATAGGCCTCATAATATAGTCTTGAGTTTAAAAAGGTACAAGTCAGAGATACAACACAATATAGTTACATAACTTAAAAATACATGCATAAAAAACAAAAGTACGCACTTTGCAAAAACACATAAAAAAGAGATATATGAAGAAAGGAATGAAAATAGAAGAACATAAATAAATAAAACCAGTGAGGATTGTTATGCAAACCAATGATGGTAATATGCTGTGAGGTGAGAAGCATGATGTCAACCTCTCTGACAGAGAATCACAAAGAGAAACAAACTAACAAACAAAACCAAAATAATTAGGAGACAACAAATGAGGATGTACTATGGCAGAAAACAAAGTCTATCCCATTACTGATCACAAACTGAAAACGTACTACACTCTAATCACTGTGTCAGGCAAGTGGGTACCAAGGGAAACAAGCACATTTCCATACCTATTTCCTGTACCAGTGCAATAGAGATGCCAAGAAGCTTAAAACACAAGCTTTCTCAAAATGCATAAAAGCCAGAGAGCTAAGACGCCCATTCACTCTCTGTCTCTCTCTCTCTCACACACACACACACACACACACACACACACACACACACACACACATCTATTACGCGCCTAGTATGCGTTAACACCTATTTAGACTCTGGGGATAAAGCAGTGAAAAAAAAGTCAGAAAGTCTTGCCCTCATGACCATGACATAATAAATCACAAGAAGTAACTTACATAGTATG